AGTGTGGCCCCAGGTCTTCCAGTGTAGTCTCCCACAAGATGGGCAGTTAGAAACAGGCAAAACAGGCACTTGCTCCTGGTCTAAAAGGTACCAGTTCACTGGAGAAGCTGTTGATCTCAACTGTTCTACCTCAGCCATTGTTCACAATCTGGCACAGAATTAATCCCCTAAGAAAAGGATGAAAAAAATGCCATTCAGCACAACATAGTTTGTCATCGCATGCATAATGCAGACTTTCCAATTAGAATGCTACAATTTGGAAACTTTCTTCACAGACTGATGAGAGAGCAATTATTTTAAAGAAGGGAAAAAGTCCACTGGGTTTGCCTCCAGTCACTTCTGACTCAAGCCACAAAGACAAGAGTTTTGAAAACATATTCACTATTGAATTTTGTATCAAAACACCAGCAAGGAGAGCAATTAGTTGCTGTAAACTGAACCCCTGATAATCAATGGTATGCAGCCAGGCAGATCATTTATGGAAGATGTAAGCAAAATCACATCTGCTAATCAATTTTTTTAAAAAACAGCATTTCGCTGCTTTTAGGGAAACTCCACAATGAGAATAAGGGAAGATGGAGGAAACAACATTTAATGTCACCAGGCATTCATGGAGTGCTCATTAGGTAGAGAGGTTTGTGGCAACAGCTAAACACAGACCTGATCCGCATCAAAAGATCTTGGCCGAGCGGCTTCCTTTATTCAGCCTCTTTTGAAAATGCCTTCTAATGTTTGGGTGGTGTTGTGTGGTGGATGCATGTGGGGTATGTTTAAGGAATTCATCTCAGTGAAGGTCATAGGGAGTGTATCTGTCCTTGGTGAGCTCACTGCAAACATTCTCAGCCAGATTACAAGTCAGGAATATCTCTATGTTGTTGCCAGTACAGAAACATAAGAACAGACTTTGCAGGCAGGGAAAGAAGTGAAGGGAGTTGGTGGGTTTTTCTGTGGTACTTTATTACAATAAAATTTCTCTCCATGGAAAAAGAGAGATTGAAACAATTTTTCCTTTAGTATCCTCAAGCTGCACTTGGCTTTTTTCAGTCGAATCAACAAAGGGATTTTCATCCCTGGCTAAGCCTTAAATTCCAAGCAAATAAATGTCCTGGCTCATGAATTAAAATCCCTCTTAAAAACTCCACAACGTAGGTGAGTCTGAGCCCTAGGCTTGATAAACTGAGATCCAGCAGTGTCCTTTTTCCACTCAGGAGTCACCATGATGCCACATTTCCATTCCCCAGGGACCCCTAATAGAGGAATAGAGAGGAGATGTGTCAACCAGTATGTGCACTTGGATGCTGTTCAGAAAAAAAGAACTTAGGCAGGGAGAAATTATTGAGGTAAAGATCGATAGACTAAGCTAATAAAAATTAATATCTTCAACATGCAGACTATGATAGGCAATGGATTAATATCCTTTAAATATAGAGGACATTTTGTAAGTTATTAAAAGCATAAATGTAAGTAGAAAATGTACAAAATGTTCAAGTTCAATGATAAGCAAAAAACTGCAAATTAATGAGATATATTTCATCTCTCAAATTAATATTTTAAACATAATATACAGTATTGGTGATTATGCACAGAAATAGGCATTTGTTATATACTTCAGATAGTATGAGTATAAATTGATATTAGCTTTTGTTTGGGGTTGGGGAAGGAGAAGTATATAGTTATTTTGTAATACATATCAAAGCTTTAAAATGTTTACATGCCCTAGTGTAGGAATTTCACTTACAGAAACTTTCAAAGGCAGTAATCATAGATTTAGCTAAGAATGTTCATCATTGAGTTTCATAACAGTGAATATTATCAACCATCTAAGTGTCCAGTAATGGGCCGGCCCAGTGGCGCACTGCTACAGTGCGCCGCTTGGGAGCGCAGCGGCGCTCCCACCAAGGGTTCGGATCCCACATACAGACCGGTTCCCGCTCACTGGCTGAGCGAGGGGCGGACCCAACACCAAGGGTTGCGATCCCGTTGCTGGTCCCGGTCCGGTGCGGGCGTGACACTGAGGGTTGCGATCCGTTGCCGGACACGAAAAAAGACAAAAAAAAAAAAAAATAATAAGTGTCCAGTAATAAGACTTATTAAATAAACTATGGAAATATACTATGAAGTCAGTACAAATGATGTAGAAGAATATTTGATGATGCAAAAAGGTATTCATAATAGACTATTAAGCAAAAGAAGCAAATTACAAACAATATGCACTATGTTTATGTGATTAAACAGTTCCTCGGGCCTGACTGGTTAGATCACTTGGTTAAAGCATGGTGCTGATAGCACCAAGGTCCAAGGTTCGATCCCTATACTGGCCAGCTGTCAAAAAGAACAAAAAAACAAAACCCTATAATTAGAGATGCTATTCATTTAAAAATAACAGTTCACTTTGAAACAAATTGGAGAACTTTATAGAATAAGCTACTTATAGGGCATGACATGCACAACTTTAAGAATTCTTCTAATATGCTCTGACTCCAAGAACTCTACTAGAATATTTATGATACTAATAATTGGTCTTCCTTTTATATCTTCTCTGTATTTCATATCCTCAAAGTAGTCTTTTTCCGTGAAATATTTTGAGATCTGGTTAGGTACTGTCCCAAAAGGGACTGATGGTTTTCCTTTGGACACTCTATAGAAGCTAACTCACGATTATCTAGAAGGGTAGGGTTTATGATAAACCTGGCTCTCTATAAATAATCCAAAATCCCATTGAGGAAAAGAGCCTCAACATTGTCTCTGAACAAACCTGATACCAGAGCTGTTAAATGAAGAGAATGATTAACTTGAAGCTTTTTACCTAGTTTTAATCTACTCTTACAGAGTTATGGATTATATCAGCCCAGAACATATGTGGAACATACATCATGAACAGTGAGCCTACATGTTTGAGTAGCATTTTCAAAAAGAGAAAGATTAAAGGTCTTTCTAAAAGTTTTATAATCAGAATGAGATCCAAACATAGAAGCAAAAACTACATTTAAAAATTACTCAGAATAAATGTAAGTTAGCACAGGCTAACTGCATAAAAGTGCTGAGAGACTAGAATAATATTCTAGGAAATGACTAATGGAGGAAATTATTCACTTATTAGGCAAATTGGCATAATCTAAGGGTAGAATTATTGGAAACTTAAGAACAATGGGGTGAAATTTTTTCTGATTCGTTCAAGAGTACTTTGAGAGATTAAATACTCAGGTGAATTAAAGGGAATCAGTAGGTATGATCTGTTTATGCTTTCCAAAAGTTTTTAACAGTTTTCTCTACTTAAAGATGAATTTTAAAATATTAGATAGTGTGGGTTCTAGTCATTGATAGTAAACAGAATTACAATTGAAAACAAGGAAAGGGAAAGGGGAACACAGGAGCAATCCTAATCCTCAATAATAGCTTTATAGGTGACACTAAACTGAACTTGTGCAAAGGATTTTCATTGATTATAACTGCAAGATTAAAGGAAACTAGCATGAACTACTTTTATAGAGTGATAAGTTACGAGTTGTAAATTATGACCCAGATACATATGAGGGTACTTCAGAAAGTTAGTGGAGTAAAGGAAACAGCAGGTTTACAGAAGTGGGCTTTGGGTCAGGATACCATATTGGAGCCCTATATCCACCACTCACTAACTGTATGAATTTAGACAAATTACTTAAAAGCTTTAACCCTCACTTTCAATATCTGTAATTTGATGAGAATAATAGTGCTTGCTAAGAGACTATTTAGAAGGATTTAATAAGATAAATTGTATAGAGCACTTAACACTGTCTGATACACAGTAAACATTAACTAAACGTTGGCTGTCATGACCATTATTATTGCAGTTGTTACAAGGAACGTATTTATTCAGCAAACATTCACTGAGTGTAAACTGTACGCTGTGCCAAGTACTGGGGGTAGAAAAATCAGTTTGACATAGGCACTGCCTCCAATGAGCTGTCTATTCCAGCTGGTAGAGGAAGCAAACACACATGACCAACTATAAAATAATAAGATACGTATTTTGTATGGGAAGGACTTTTAAGGCTGAAATCATAGAAAACAATGATTTATCTCCCATGTGACACTGTCAGAAGCAAAATGCTGATCTTCAGATTCTGAGCATTGCAATAATTCTTATTTTTTGAATCAAGGAATAATGCACATAGAGTGCACAGATCTTTTGCATATAGCTCGATAAATATTTACATGCATCCATACCTGTGTAACTACCACTCAGATCAAAATTAGTACATTTCCAGCATTCTAGAAGGTTCTCTTATACTCTTTCCCAATCGATATCTACCCCAGAGGCAATCTCTACTCTGATTCCTGCCTCCAACAGATAAATTTTGTCTGATTCGAGCTTCATGTAAATGGAATCATACAGTTAATGCTTAGGTTTTTATCTGGGCAGAAAAGGGGAATAAGAAAAATAGGACCAAGATAATTAATTTCTAAATAATGACTAAGAAAGTTTTACTAATGAATATGTTTGCCTGTATCTCCAAATCAGGTGATCTTACCAAAGCTATGCAAAAATTCTGGTGAGAATGAGAAGGAACCTAAAACATGGTAATAATGGTCATGAGGGCATGCTGGTTATCAGCAATTAGAAAGTACAGATTCCCCCTTGAGCAGTGGTCTCAAGGATGTGAACTTTGGTCAGCCAAGTCAACTGGAAATGACAGCTTGAAGAAGCAGGAAGGACGATTTAGGGCCATCTCCTCCTCCTAAGCCAATCTGGAGAACTTTGGCACTAGGGAGACACAGGCTGCCCTAGGATTGGGTGACTTATGAAATAAACTTCTGAAAAGACAAGCCTCTCTCTGCAGACTGCACCTATTCTTTTCCTTTTTTCTTGGGATTCTCTTTCTTTCTCCAGTCCTGGAAGTGTGGTGGGACAAAGGAGGCCTATGGGAGGGAGATAGTAGACATACATTCCCCTATGCCTACAGCCCAAGGAAACAGCCAGTTAGAACATTTACAGCAATCCTGTTTTTCCCTTTGTTCAGGTTATTACTTTGGGACTGTGATGATCGAAGCTATAGCTACTACGTTGAGGTTTCTACCAACCAGCAACAGTGGACCATGGTCGCTGATAGAACTAAAGTCTCCTGCAAGTAAGTTGTGTCTTTTCTAGAATTTATTCCAGTGGAAAAGACAGTATTTCTGATGGGTTCAGGGGTTCTAATAAAAAATCATGGAATCACCAAATTATATTCTTATTTGGAGGTTGAAAACATTGCAATGATCCTTTACTTCAGTTTTGACTATTAAGTACTTATATGAGAATTTACTTGATGTGACCAAACAAGCTCTATCTTGTGGTTTGAACTTGACTCAAACTTTTCAAAATGATATATGTACCTAAACAGGGGGAAAAAGATATTTTCCTTATGCAGTACTCTCTCAGGCCCTCCCCCCACATCCCATAGTATCCCTTTAGGATTTTTTTATTCCTTAGAGAATTTTTCTGAAGTGATATACACCTTAGTAGTTATTCTGGGGCTCTATCCTACTCCCTACCCTCATATCATTTCAGGGGTAGCTTTAAATATTGATCTCATCTCAGTGTTAGCTACGCTGTTGCCTAAACTAAAGAAAGCCTTGTACCATACATTCTCCATAGGCAAACGGAGGTATTTAATGCATATGGCATTGGGGTATGAGCTCACCTCATTGCAGGAGAAGCTAGGAGGAAGGATTCTTTGGGTTCTGACCAGCATAGAATCATGGAACATGGAAAGAGCTAAGTGCCTTTTGTGTAGAGCCAGATTCTCTGGAAGGCCAGGTAGAGCAAATGGCTATTTCTTTTTAAAATTGAGTTATAGAGCCGGCCCCGTGGCGCACTTGGGAGAGTGCGGCGCTGGGAGCGCAGCGACGCTCCCGCCGCGGGTTTGGATCCTATATAGGACTGGCCAGTGCACTCACTGGCTGAGCGCGGTGTGGGTGACACCACACCAAGGGTTGCGATCCCTTTGCCAGTCACGAAAAAAGACAAAAAAAAAAAAAAAATTGAGTTATAATTCATATACCCTGAAGCTCACCCTTTTAAAGTATAGAATTTAATGGTTTTTAGTGTATTCATTCACAGAGTTGAGCAGCCATCACTACTATTTAATGTCCAGAACATTTTCATCACCCCAAAAAGAAACCTCTTCCCCATTAGCGGTCACTCCCCATTTCTTTCCAACTCTCCCAGCCCCAGCCTCCAATAATCTATTTTATGTTTCTATGGATTTGCATATTCTGGACATTTCATATAAATGAAATCAAATAGTATGTGACCTTTTGTTTTTGGCTTCTTTCACTTAGCATAATGTTCTCACAGTCATCCATTTTGTAGCATATATCAGAATTTCATTTCTTTTGGGCCGAGCCCGTGGTGCACTCGGGAGAGTGCGGTGCTGGGAGCGCAGCAGCACTCCCGCCGCGGGTTTGGATCCTATATAAGGATGATCGGTGCGCTCACAGCGCTCACTGGCTGAGCGCGGTGCGGCCAGTCTCAAAAAGGACAAAAAAAAAAAGAATTTCATTTCTTTTTATGGCTGAATACTATTCCATTGTATGGATATACCATATTTTGTTTATCCATTCATCAGATGATAAACATTTGAGTTGTTTCCACTTTGGGGCTATTATGAATAATGCTGCTATGAACATTCCTGTAAAAGTTTTTGTGTGAGGGGCCGGCCCGGTGGCGCACTGGATAGTGCGCCACTTGGGAAGCGCGGCGGTGCTCCCGCCCGAGGGTTCGGATCCCACATACAGACCGGTTCCCGCTCACTGGCTGAGCGAGGCGCGGGAGCCCACTTGGGAAGCGCGGCGGTGCTCCCGCCCGAGGGTTCGGATCCCACATACAGACCGGTTCCCGCTCACTGGCTGAGCGAGGCGCGGGAGCCCACTTGGGAAGCGCGGCGGTGCTCCCGCCCGAGGGTTCGGATCCCACATACAGACCGGTTCCCGCTCACTGGCTGAGCGAGGCGCGGGAGCGGCGCCGAGGGTTGCGATCCCGTTGCCGGTACCCGGTCTGGTACGGGGGCAACACTGAGGGTTGCGATCCGTTGCCGGACACGGAAAAAAGACAAAAAAAAAAAAAAAGTTTTTGTGTGAACATATGTTTTCAGTTCCTTTGGGTTTATACTAGCAGTAGAATTGCTGGGTCACGTGGTAACTCTGTGTTTAACTTTTGAAGAACTGCTGTACTTTTCCACAGCAGTGGCACCATTTTACATTCCCACCAGCAATGTATAAGGGTTCCAATTTCTCCATGTTCTCACCAGCACTTGTTATTGTCCATCTTCTTTGTCATAACTATCCTAGTGGGAGTAAAGTGGTATATCATTGTGGTTTTGACTTGAATTTCCCTGTCAGCTAATGATGTTAAGCATCTTTTCATGTGCTTATTTGGCCAAGATTTCTTAACTGCATTTAATGATGGCTTATTTGATGCAATGTCTGACACTATCACCACTATTATTATAGCATGTTTGTGTTGGTTAGGTTAATACCTGCTACTGTAACGAATAAGCTTCAGCATTTCAGTGGCTTAACCCAGTAGTTTGTTTCTCAGTCATGTAACAGTCAGTGTGGGTGTTTCAGGTTGTCAAGTGGCTCTTCTTCATAAGTGACTGAGGAACTCAGGCAATTTCGTTTTTGTGATTCTGCCCTCATCTAGGCCCTCATCAGCATCATCTGCATCTAGTTTGTAAATGGGGAAAGGACAGAAAGAAGGTATACCTGGTTCTGAAAAGCCTTGGCCTAGATGTAGTGTACGTCCCTTCCACTCACATGACATTGGCAAGACTAGTCACAGTGCCACACTAGATGCTAGTGTGGCTGGGAAGTGTAGTCAGCTCTTGGCTGGACAGCCACTTCATAGTGGATCAGAAATCTTGTGGTCATCTCTGCCGCAGCATAAAAAGACTAACAATTATTTCCTAATTAGTATTCCAGTACTTTCATATATTTTATCTCATTCTGTCCTGAATACAAGACCCCGTGTGGGATACTGTTCTCATTTTATAAAAGAGAAAATGAACCTCAGAGAGATTAACTGTCTTTTCTTAGCAGAGCTAAGAGTTAAACCCAGGGCTTTTCCCACTTTATCAGACTGCCTCCTACTACCCAAAGCACTGCTAAAGAGGGCTAAACCAAGCTAGATGATGAAAAGAGGGAAGCAAGGTGGTTAACTTATTTCCAAACTCCTAGAACACTTTTTATACAATGGGAAGGCCTCCAAGGCCCATGAAAAACCACCCATTTGTCTTTCCAGAGTCTTTGCTTATTGAGTATACAGCTCCCAGACCAGACTCTCTGCTTTCTCAAAGCTCATCAACTTTTACATGTCTTACAGGTTACCGCCACCTCCTCTCTGTCATTTCATGTGTTATAAACTGGATTCCTCGTCTCTTTCTTTTGTGTCCCCCTGTTGAAGGTGCCTATACAATGTGGGTTTTTAGCTGATTGACTGACTATTGACTAGGTACATCTCGTAATGGTTTTGTATTTAGTTAAATGGGTTTTTTCTTGATTCAAAAACCATTCACTTGTTAGATCCTCTCCTAGTAGCTTTGCATTAAGCCATCAACATCTTTTTCTTTCTTTTTTCTCTTTTGTTTCCTTTAGTTGGCGGATTAATTTATATGTTTCTAACTTTGTATTTTAGCACTTAGATGCTACAGCAGGTATGTGTTTTACAAATTAATAAATAATACATTGGGGCCAGCCCGGTGGCGCACTGGATAGTGCGCCGCTTGGGAAGCGCGGCGGTGCTCCCGCCCGAGGGTTCGGATCCCACATACAGACCAGTTCCCGCTCACTGGCTGAGCGAGGCGCGGGAGCAGCACCGAGGGTTGCAATCTCGTTGCCGGTCCCCGGTCCGGTACGGGGACAACACTGAGGGTTGCGATCTGTTGCCGGACACGGAAAAAGACAAAAGACAAAAAAATAAATAAATAAATAAATAATACATTAGAAGAATAAGAATAGTAACGTGAAGGCAAGTGCTTGTTAACCCTCTAAGAATCAATGGAACCAAAGGTTATTTTATGTTAATAGGCATAACCTGAATCTATTGTACCTCCTATTTTCAAGTTAGGCCTTAAGAAATATAGAAGACATGCAAATGGTAAAAGATGAAAGGTTTTCCTTTTTAACTAATATACTGCAGAGCAGACCTCAAGAGAAGATTCTATTAGCTTCAAGAATTGTAGCTTGTATTTTATTGAAACAGTGTGAGTCATGTTATAAATGAAATTATATAGAATCTTTAAAGATCATAGCTCTGCCTCTTCATAGCATTCTACATAGTCAAGAAATGAGAACACAGATTTTTGCTGTCCTCTGAAAAATTCCTAGGGAATAAGATTCTCCAGTTTTTCTGTTTGTCTTTCTGCTCCTGGGGTAGGATATTTTTCTTTATAGCTCTCCTAAGTCCTTTCTGCTATAGTTTGAACTTCTCTTGTTTTGCTTTCAGGATAAAGGGTCATTTTCTATTGTAGATAACACTGCTTTTGTGTTGACTAATTTTTTAAAATTACTTTTTACATCTCTTCACGTAATCTAATCCTGTACTCTTAGCCTTATTTCAAAAGACCCCACTTTCCATAGTTGATTCCTTTACTCTGCTGTCCTCTAAATCTGTTTTTGACATCAGTTTTTAAATTATAAATATAAAACATGCACATGGAAAATTAAACAATACAGAAGGATATAAGTGAAAAGTAAAATTTTACATTCCAATCCTACACTCCTGAGAGGTAACTACTTTTGACCTTTTTTTTCCCCCTTTGGTTTTTGTAACTTCTCAACTATAAATACTATTTTACACATCTATTTATTAATTTATCAGCTTTATTAACTTCTTGATATAGAAAAATGAGAACTTTAGCTCACATAACTACTTATTTTTGTTAGTAACATTTTCCTTTTTAGTTCTGCTATTATTTATCTTTTAACATTAAACAGTATACTATAACCTCTAATTTTTGATCCATCAGTTATAGACAGTATTTCTTAACTCCCTACTATATTGATAAAGAAATTACTACCCCCACATTTTCCTCTCTCCTTCCCCTTTTTTCTTTCTAGCTTCTGTTAGCTGTCCTACCATATAACATTGT